GACTGAATTATCAAATTAAATGGCAGTTAAACAATCAACTTATTATTGGCTACAATTGAATGCAGTTTGTATTAGATTATTGAAAACTGAGGGGAAAAATTTTTACAGTTTGTGTTGAAATCGACTTTTCGTTTTCTCCGTTTTTCGCCAAACGCAGTGGCATAGAAATAAAAATGAGGTGTCGTCGAGCTCGTCATGATGTAAGTAAAGGACATACCGAGTTTGAACGAAATCGGAGGAAAAAAAGTTGAACTTGTCGATTTTTGATCGGTTTTATCGATTATTGATTTTTTTAAAAAAATTATCGATTTTTATGCTAAGAACCTATCTCTTACATCGTACAATGTATGTGCCAAGTTTGGTCAAAATCGGTTGGATGCATTTCGAGTGAAACGGTATCACACAGATATACAGACACACAGATATCATCTGTTTTATATATAGAGATAAAATACTGTTGATATAGATTTATATAAAATGGAAAGGGTATGGGCTGAACTGGTCATCGATTATCTCTTACCTAGCTAATCGGTCAGTCAAAAATATTTAATTTTATAATGGGCACATCCACCAAAACTTATATTCAATCCTTTTATACCACAATACCAAATACTCTCCGGAACTTACAAAAAATGCCATTAAAATTAAATCTGTATGAATATCTATCTTTTCATCTATCTATCTATCTTATATATATATATTATATATCATATATAAATTTGTCGAAGATCCGTAATGAGGGGTGTGGGAAAAGAAAAAACAAACTAAAATATCAATAAATTTCTAATTTTGATATTCTTTAATATGTTCAAAAGGCTATTTATAATGGAAGAGGGAAAGGATAAAATAAAATTGCCATGAAAAAGAAAGAAAGCTCACACATTTGAGATGAAAAAAAAATTTACCAAAAACAAAATAATGAATGTTTTTTGACTTGGATCATAACCAAAGTTTTATTTAGGATTATTTCGGGAACGACATTTTTAGTTAACTAGGTACACATCTTCATTTTAAAAGTTTCTTTGACATAAAATTGAAAAAAAAACATTAAGTTTCATGAGAACGAGTTATTTTATTATCCACGTTTCGCAAAAATAAACAAGCAAACCGCTTTCTATTAGTTCTAATCTTCATTTTGAGCTTGCATATCTGATAAGGTTGTTTTATTATAGACATCGAAATACTCAGCAAAATTTTAAAAAGTGTCTCTACTATCCGTTCAGTCATTTTCTCGCTGTGTTGACGTGACTTAAAACTGTCTTTTCTAGAAATAGTTTTATGGCAATTATTGTAATGAGCTCTCCTCCTGAGGACCTCGACTGCATTAATTTAAGCATGCTAATAGAATGGCAAGTGGGACTCATTGTTTTACAGTTGAAATAGGTTGATATAATCATAAGTTCTAATCTAATAGTTTATTTTCCCGCCCGTAGAAATCACTTCCGTTTTCGCACTGCCATAGTACATATATTCTTCAAACAATTTCAATGAAATGGTGTCCAAATACAGGAAATATGGAGTAGGCAGGTCGAATTTAAATTTGAAAATTTAAACTTGCTTCAATTCTCTGTATTTTCGTTTGTTTTTAATTTTCTATTTATTTCCAAATGGAACAGCCTACTCCATATTTCGTGTATTTGGGTCCCAGTATTATTTTTGACCTATTTTAAATTTGATCTATGAATTGGTGTCCACCTCGCGTATATTTAAAAAAAACATCATAAGTTATACCTTCTACCAGAAGATTTGGGTAACGAAACTTAAGTCGCACCACAAACGTAGGTATATGTATATTTATTAATATATAATGTAATATATATTTTATATATATATATATATATATATATATATATATATATATATATATATATATGTGTGTGTGTGTGTTGTGTATATTATTAAATATAAAATATATATGTATGTATTATAATATAAAAAATATATATATGTGTATGTATATATTTCATAATATACATATATATATATATATTATAATATGCATACATATGCATATATATATATATATATGTATTTATTATAATATAGATAGACATACATATATGTATATATTATAATATATATAAATATATATATATATATAATCATAATATAAATACGTATATATATAAACCATATATAATATATATATAAAATATATATATACATATATATATACATATGTATATGTATGTATTATAACATACATATATATATATGTATTATACATACATATATGTGTAATATATATATATATATATATATATATATATAATAATACATATATATATATATATATATTATATACATGACACGCATATATCTATATTATAATATACATATATATATATATTATAATATACATATATATATATATACATGTATGTCTTTATTATAAAATATATATATATATATACATATATATGTATGTATGTATTTAATATATATATATATATGTATTTATACATACATATATATATATGTGTATATATATATATATATATATATATATATATATATATATATATATGTATGATGCATACATATATATATATTATTTGGATACATGACACACATATATGTATATTATAATATACATATATATATATATGATAATATACATATATATATATGTATGTCTGTATTATAATATATATATATATATATATATGTGTGTGTGTGTGTGTGTGTTCTCATAATTTCTAAATAAACTACTTAGCAATGATTAAAACGATAGGAAACAATAAAATCTGATAAAAAAAAAAATGGATAAGTTAAACATCGCGATATAACAGATGTCCAAATTTAACTTATAACCTGATCGTCTCTGTATCTTTAACGTTTTGATGTAAAATTTAACCAGCATTTGTTTTATTTACTCTCCGATTCTCTTGATATTATTTATTCACAAATGTTTCCGTCAATAAAAATCCTTATTAGTATGAAGAAATTACGTCTCGAATCGTAACGCGTAAAAAGAAATTTTTCCATTTTGTCCTTCACTTACTCACAATTTGTCATATATATCATTTTCAAACACACACACACACACACACCCACACCCACGCTCTCTCTCTCTATCTCTCTCTCTCTCTCACACACACATATGTATGCCGTGAGTGTGAGTGTGTGTTTGCTACGTGAGTGCGAGTGTGTGTTTGCTACGTGAGTGTGAGTGTGTGTTTGCTACGTGAGTGCGAGTGCGTGTTTGCTACGTGAGTGCAAGTGCGTGTGTGCTATACGAGTGTGAGTGTGTGGTTGCTACGTGAGTGCGAGTGTGTGTTTGCTACGTGAGTGTGAGTGCGTGTTTGCTACACGAGTGTGAGTGTGTCTGCTACGTGAGTGTGAGTGTGTGTTTGCTACACGAGTGCGTGTGCGTGTTTGCTATGTGAGTGTGAGTGTGTGTTTGCTACGTGAGTGCAAGTGCATGTGTGCTACACAGTGTGAGTGTGTGGTTGCTACGTGAGTTCAAGTGTGCGTTTGATACTTGATTCTGATAGTGTGTGTTTGCTACGTGAGTGTGAGTGTGTGTTTGCTACGTGAGTGCGTGTTTGCTACGTGAGTGTGAGTGTGTGTTTGCTACGTGAGTGCAAGTGCGTGTGTGCTACACGAGTGTGAGTGTGTGGTTGCTACGTGAGTGCGAGTGAGTGTTTCCTACGTGAGTGTGAGTGTGTGTTTGCTAAATGAGTGCGCGTGCGTGTTTGCTAAGTGAGTGTGAGTGTGTGTATGCTACGTGAGTGCGAGTGTGTGTTTGCTAAGTGAGTGTGAATGTGTGTTTGCTACGTGAGTGCGAGTTTGTGTTTGCTACGTGTCTTTTCCCGTTTCTTACCATCAAAATATTTCTTCCGGTTCATTTCTTGTTTTCTCTCTCTCTCTCTCTCTCTCTCTCTCTCTCTCTCTCTCTCTCTCTCTCTCACTCTTTCCATTTTATTTCGAAAAGAATGCTGTCGTTTACACCTTTTCTCTTTTCTTTTTTTGCTTTTTGATTTTTACCATTTCCATCGTATTTACTGGTTCCTTCTTCCTCGACCCAAAAGCACTAAAACAATTCGACAGCGTACGATCCCTGACCCTTTTGACGAGCACCGTTTTATTTGACCCTAACCTTCTCAAAGGTTAGTCAAACCAGCCATTCCACTCACCAGTAGTGCAGCGACGTGGAAATCTGCAAATATTTCTGTAACTTTAGGAAAAGAAGCGGAAAGAAGGTGAAAGAAAAAAAAAAAAAAAAGTCGTAGGGGTGGAGGGTTATTCATTCAGTAGACCGACGCCTACCCCAAAGACCAATGACTGAGAAAGGCTTTACAAAAGTCCAACAGCAAGGAAAAAAATATTGTTTGTTGAAGAGATTTAAAGATCAAGGAGAAGAGCCCAAGTAAAATGGGGAATATTTTGAACCGAAGAGGAAGGATAGATTCGGGGGAGGGGAACTAGAACTTAAAACAAACGTATTTTCAACACCCTAACCACAAAAAGGATATAAAGTGAATATATATATATATATATATATATATATAACATAATTGTTAGTTAGCTACCTAGATAGATAGATAGATAGATAGATATAAGAATATGTATAGATATGTATGAGTATATACAATTATATATGTGTGTGTTTGTGTGTGTACGTACATAACCGAGTTGTTAGCTACCTAGATAGATAGATAGATAGATAGATAGATAGATAAAAGAATATGTATAGTCATGTATGACTATACATATTATAGACATGTATTATTGTATATTGTATACATATATTATTACATATTTTATATATTATATACATGTATTATTGTATATTATATATATATACATTTATATATATATATATATATATATATATATATATACATGTGTTTTCGTCATATTATATATAATAGTCATGTATATATACATATATATAATATATATGTTCTTATATATATATATATATATATATATATATATATATATCTATCGTCATACATATACAATTATATATGTATACATACTCATACATAACTATGCATGTTCTTATATCTATCTATCTATCTATCTATCTATCTATCTATCTATCTATCTATCTATCAACCAACCAGACACACATAATGAAACACTCACACATACATATATATTTAAGTATTGCATTATTATTTAAGCTTATCTTTTAAAAGTTCAACAAGAATTCTTCCGACGCCACTTATTTTAAACACATTCTGATGCAAGTAGGTCCTTACTTTCCGTACAAACAATTATTTTTATTTTATGGGTGATTTTCGCTTGAGTATGAAACAGGGCTTCATACTTTAATTCAGTTTAATTTTAATAATTATATTGAGGGTTTAGGCTCTAGTTTTTGAAACATGAGAACTATTATGTAACGAAGAAATCATATTTTTAAATAAATAATTATAAAAATATAATTATAAAAAATAATTATAATATATATATGTGTGTGTGTATGTGTCTGTTCGTGTGTATGTGTGTGCGCGCGGTTGTGTGTGTTTGTGTGTGTGTGTGCGAGCGCGCGCTTGCGTGTGTATGTGTGTGTGTGTGCTTTCAATATAATCTGAAAAAAATTCTATTTAATTAACGATCTTCTTTTCTTTTGGGGGGAAAACAGTACTTATGTGTATTTTTGTCGGTCATACATCTCAGAAAATTGGCAATATGTCGACACGTACGCATGGAAACACTTAAATTTCCGCATTCATGTCTAAGTGCCCGGATTTTGGAAAGCGCAGATGGTGTTAGATAAAGATTTTCATTAATTTAATATTAATTCGAATATTTGGCAAGAAAGAAAAAAAAATGTTTATTTTTCGATGTTGTAAAAGCCATTTATTAGCCATGAGTCTCTTGTCGGACGGCCATCCTTCACGAATACGCCTTTTGTGTTCCTCGAACGAATAAAAACAGAAGCCTGACTTGTGGCAATTGTTGATTTCATATCTTTTCAGGCTCGATTTGCTTTCATACTTTCAAAACTCTCTTCTTCCGAATTTTATTTTAGCGAAATTAGATTTTTATTCTTATATTTCCAATATTTGCCTGTTCGTGCCAGATGTCCTATAATTAACTTTAAAACTTGAGTAACAGCAGATCTCCTCAGATATCCAGCACCTTCCGCAGTATTCTTCTAAATTTTATTATTTGTTCTTTAAAAACCAAAACCAAAAAAATACCCGTAATTTACATTAAAAATAAACCGTAATCCCTCTTTAATATAAAAATATAAAAAAATTAATATTCACAACTCTAAAATTGATTTTATATATATATATATATATATATATATATATATATATATATATATATATATATATATATATATATCCCTGTTTATTTTAAATGCCAAATACTTTTTAAAATTAAAAAAAAAACAAAAAAAAAAAAACTGAAATCCCAGTATAATATATGACTGCGCTAACATGGTGATAACCAGATAATTTTAAAAAATATTAAGTTACGTAACGGTTAGTCTATACTCAACACCTGAAGGTTACATTGTGCATGAAGCTCCGAGTCTGTCGGTGAAGGATAGGATATATATATATATATATATATATATATATATATATATGTGTGTGTGTGTGTGTGTGTGTGTGTGTGTGTGTCTGAATGTCATTTATTCAAGTCCAATGTGGAAGGACATTACACAGTTAATGACTATAAAGAAAAGGCTAATATATATATATATACCCTGTCTGAGGAAAATTTAGCATTATACATGGTGTTATCCATTGAAAGGAATTGTTAGATGAAGCGATTGACAGATCTTAACAATGGTCAAGTGAACACAAGCGATTACTCTTAATATAGTAAACTGCATGCAATGCTCTGTTGTGCTTTTAAACTATCTGTTAATGTGCAAATTATGAAGTAAACTATTTTAAAATATCAAACAATTATTTAAATTAAAAATAAGTAAACGATTCAATAATAACATACTGTGTTTACATTCGGTATCAACTGCCAGTAATATGTACAGTACATGTATATATAATTACTAAAAGATACACATTGTTTCATGAAAAAAACGATTCCGTTTTTTACAAATGTATTTTTGAAAATTTTATTTATTCGTTATGGAAATTAAATGATAGCGTTGTAGTTGTGGTTTGAGCCACTTTGTCCCCCGGAAACTAATGTTTTCAGACGCAATCCGCCACGGATCATGATAAAGATTTCATGTTTAAGAAAGGACACTTCATAAAATTCAAAGCAGAATCTGCAATGTTATTGATACTTAGCTGGCATCTCGGCTTTAGTCACTTTCTTATAGCCATAACGTAGCTTCCCTATATCTTTTCTATAAATTCTTTCGTGGTAATTGTTCTCATGAACTTGCCTCTGTCTTATAAATTATACATATGAGAACGAGTTAGGCCTACATAGAGACTAGGAGGTATTATGGTGACTGTAGTAAGAATGCGTTGTTTTGGTTTAAGCAATACGGTTGTATGTTTAACCACTGGCTAACTAAGTTTAAGATAAGAATAATTGGAGATCAGCCTTCCCTTATACCTTCTTTCGGCCTTGAGTCACATTTTAATATTACTCAAAATAAATACTTTCCTCTACGGTACCTAGACTTTATGAATTTAAGAGAAGTACTACATTGGCAGAAATTTCTCATCATTTTACAGTTGAAATGGCTAGACGTAACCGTAAGTTCTTTGCTAACAGTTTCTTCTGTCACACTTTTCTCTTGTGGAACTCCCTTCCAGTTTCTTGCTTCCAAGACAAATTTGATCTTCAAACATTTAAATGCAATGTCACTCGTTTTCTACCGTCTTCTTATTAGCTCTTCTTTTATTGTTTTCTTCTTAATAGCATATTTTCTCATATTCTCTAACACCCTGTAACTCCCTTGTGTCTTAGTAGCTTTATTGCCTTGTATGAGCTGAAATGATTAAAATTTAAAAAAAAAAAAATAATTGATTTTTTGAGAAAAAAAATTTCAGTGATCATATATATATATATATATATATATATATATATATATATATATATATAAAAGTGAAAACTTAGAGGCGACAGTCTACTTTCATGCTAGATGCAATCGTCAGGCTATATATATATATATATATATATATATATATATATATATAGATAGATAGATAGATAGATAGATAATGGTATATATTTTTATATATCAAGACAACATTGGGGAAATTGTAAGACAAATTGGAAAAAGTTTACTTGTGAGGCGTTTCGTCCTCCAGGACTTCATCAGAATAAATTTATGTTGGTAAAACTACACATGCGCTTGACAGAGGGGGTGCTGGGAAGGTTGTATTTTTTTTTTATCTAGCCGAATTCATTTAGAGTCTTTTTCATTTTCTTACTATCACTTTTGTAAGTAGAAACTAAACTCTATTTTATCATACGGCGGATTTTCGAATTTTTCAGAATTTTTTTTTCTATACATGCGAATTCATTCGGACTCATTTTCTTTTTTCTTTATTTTTCTTTTTCTTTCCATCAATTTTACTAGTAGGTATTCCTAAATGAATTGTCTAGATATAAATACAATTAAATTTAAAAAAAAATTCTAAAATCCCCAGCAGCCCTCGTTCGTTTTACCAACATAACAAGTAAACTTTTTCCAGTATTTACATTAGTCGGACTATTGTCCTCATCTTTGTCGCCATTTGTCACAACGTTTCGGCCGTTGTACGCTCCGCCCTTCTTCAGGTGGTTGAAATTTCGAACTGAACCCTTTATTTTGATCACTGGGGTAGACTGTTCTAGTTCCACGTGCCATGTTTGATGGATGTGATTTATCAGTTATCTCCTGCTAATTTTCCCTCTGAAAGTTCTCCACTGCCTTAACCGGGTATTGAACTCACACACTTTGGGTCTGTCACTGGATCTAACCAACGCCTTTATCCACTGTGCCATGTGTCATAGAGGAGAACATGACTAAAGACTGTGTGTACGCTATCCCGTGCAGCTGCGGAAAGGAATATAAAGGAGAGACAGGCCTCCCCCTCAAGGTAAGGCTTCAAGAACACCAGAAAGCTGTAACGCGAGGGGAAGTAGAAAAATCAGGCGTGGCTGACCACATATGGAGAGAGAAGGGAGATCACCGCCCTCTGTGGGATCAGGTTGAGATCATAGACAGGGAACACCAATGGAAAATTCGTAAACTTAAGGAATCAGCACATATGCTAGGCCACAAAAATCTCCTGAGCCGACCAAGCATAGAAATAAATACAATATGGGAACCAGTAATAAGGAGTGCCAGAGAAAAAGCAATGATAACAAAGTTGCAATATGAGCTCTGGTAAAAACATGAAATGATAACAGCAAAAATTGCAATATGAGCACTGGTAAAAATGGTTGCTGAAAACATTAGGTTTATAATACCCAGAAATTCATACCCAGATGTCCTCAAGGACACATTATAATGGATTTGTTCTTTGGTTAGATCCAGTGACAGGACCCAAAGAGGATGAGTTCAATAATAATTAAGGCAGTAAACTTTCAAAATTAATAGGAGATAACTGATAACTATATCCATAAATATATATATGGAACTATAACATATATATATATATAAATAAAGGGTTCAGTTCGACATTCCAACCACCTGAAGATTTCCAGAATATACAACATATTCAACTCTTTTTAAATATGGCGACAAAGATGAGGACAATAGTCTGAATAATGTAAATAATTTTCTTGATATATTATTATCATTATTATTATTATTATTATTATTATTATTATTATTTGCTTTTTTCTTACATTGAACTCTCTTTGATTAAAATCCTTCTTGGAATTATTCCTAATTAATTACCAATTGATATATATATATATATATATATATATATATACATACAGACAATCATTGAATTATATATATATATATATATATGGTATATGAACACTATTATGCCTGAAAAATTTCCCTACTTGAAAAATGATAATAATCCTAACTGGATTATTTTTTTTAAAAATTTTATATTATTTCATTTTCGGATTTTTTTAATATATATTTCTATATATATAAATTCGTTAATATATTGTCAAAAAATTATATTAATAATGATATCGCTTTTTTTTTATTAATATAATTATGTGTGATCTGGATAATGCAAAGTCTTTTTTTTTTTTTTTTGTGATAAACA